CTTTTGTCATGACATCTTTTTTTTCGGAAAAATTTCCAATCTATTCATCTTCAATCATGATAGTACAACGAACACCAGAAATAAAAATTACATCTAGATCCGTAAACCATCTAGCGACGAGTACAAGCACCGAAGCGAGCCGAAGGCGCGCCGCCGTCATCGCCCCTCCATCACCGGAGCCGGGCACAACTTGTTGTAGTAGACAGTCGGGAAGTCGTCGTGCTAAGGCCCCATAGGACCAGCACCCCAGAACAGCAACCGCCGCCGATGAAAAATAACGTAGATCGGAAGGATCCAAACCGAAGACACACGAACAAAGACGAACAACGACGAGATCCGAGCAAATCCACCACAAAGATAGATCTGCCGGAGACACACCTCCACACGCCCACCAACGATGCTAGACGCACCGCCGGAACGGGGGCTAGGCGGGGAGACCTTTATTCCATCTTCAGGGAGTCGCCGCCGTCTCGCCTTCCTGAGCAGGACACAAACCCTAACAAAGCTCGAAAAAAGATATGAAAGCAGAGCCCTCCCACCGGCAAGGGCCGAGATCCACTCCGCCTCCATGGCCCTAAAGCCACCGGAGACGGGACGGACCGGCGCCGGCGCCGGTGGGAGGCAAAACACCCTAGTTTTGGGGAGGCAGCGGCTGGCTACGTAATCTTGTTTGGAGTTCGATGCTTGCACATCCTTGCGCAGCAGATCCACTTCTTCTCTGAGACCCGTAGTTTCTTCACGGTTGGCAAGCACATCTTCCTTGAGCTGGAGCAGGTCAACCAGATCCGCCTCATCGATGCTCTGCTTCAAACGCCCCATGATATGAACTTAGGAAAAGGAATTTTACGACCGCAACTTGGCGGCAACCTGTACCTAAGAACAGATCCTTCCGCCGCCGTCGACAAAAGCCTCCGAAACAGCACCGCTCTCGCTAGAACCTGGGATTTGACCACTGAAACAAGTTGTTCCGGCAACCAGTTCCGCCACTCGAGCTGCCGTCGAATGTTCTACCGCCACCAACGCCGCCAATCACCGCCTCCAGCACCCCCACACACTCACCGTCGCCAATGCCCCCCAACACCGCCGTCGCCGCCGCCGGGAAATTTGGTGGAAAAGGGAGGGAAAAGTTTCAGCATGTCACCGCGTGATCTCGCCGCCGAGGAAACGCCTAGCTCATGATACCAATTGTCACACCCTTGAGGAAATCAGAAGAGGATTCGATCTACGATTTAGGGTTTATGGCGGAATTGGGGATCGATGGTAGTCACGCAAGGAGGAATTATATAGCAGTATCAGGTCGATGTAAAGTATACAGATAATGTGATTTAATCACTGATAGAAAATGACATGCCCACGCAGAGGACTTGGCTAGCTGTTATATAGCGCTCGTCTACTGAGGAGCCCGCAACGGAGAAGATCAGCCCATGCCAACGATCGTACTCCTCCGTCTCGCGGCGGAGGAGCGACTACGGCGGCTGGAGGCCGTTGTTGGTGTACTTCCTCGCCGCGCACTTCCTCGCGCCGTCCGCTCAGACACAATGTTGGTGCTCGGGGTCGTCCCTCTCACCGGAGCTGCGGCCGGAGCTCCACATTCTACCCCACATGGTGGCGTTCGGCAGCAGGATTATGCTCACCAACGGCGAGAAATAGTAATGGGATTGGGGAATCATGGCGACGAAGGGATAGGGTTAACTCATATCGGCGTC